GAAACAAATACATTTAGAAATAAATGTAAAATAGGGTTAAGTTAATTGATTATTGCACATTATAAAAAGCTACAGCATTAATTTAAGCAGTTTTTAAACAAAGTGAATAAATTTCACACATTCCGCTGCACTTCACTTACGCATCGCTGAAGTTTGAATTATGAATTCATCTCCAAGCTAAACATACATAGATGTTCTTTTATCATGTTGAAAATACGCTTATTGCGCATGTGTGAAGCATAAACCATGCTAGGGCTAGACTCTACTCTCTTTTGGCGGGTGCCGTTGGAGTAGAAATATGATACGCGATGCTCCCTCATTCCTGTGTGCTTAATAAAAATATATTTTTATATCAAATGCTGTTTTATTCAATACATGTCAGATCAACCAATATCACTTTAAACAGCAACCTCCTTCAGGTGTATCATTTGTGATTAAAGCCCATATTTCTTTTTTCAGAATCATTTCAAGTTTGTATTTCCATAGTTGATAGTTGTTGTTTAGTTTCATAATAAAATATTTATTTACGCAGTTAGTAGCCATTTCTGCTTCTGTCCTTCAAATGCGCAGTGCACAACTAGGCTAGTTTTGTTTCGTTTTTTGAAGATCAGTTTATCTTTGCGTTTTTGCATTATTTAGGGCAATTTATGGTAGAGTATCTTTACTGTTTATATTATTATTCTTAATAGCTTATCTCGCTATGTTTTATGCATTTGGTTAAAGTAAAAATGCACTCAGTCTCATAATCAAACGTTGGAGGTTGAAGCGGTTAATTCTGGACGCAAGTTATTTGCGACAAGCAGATAAATAAAACATTCAAATATTATCTTCTTATGCGAAGAGCAACTAGATTTCAGATCCTTTCAATTAAACGAAGATTTCTTTAAAACAATCTAAAAATTACCATTGCCTGAGAAAGAAAAATTTATTAAATTATAATTTTCTGATCTTATTCATTGGAGTTGGTAAATTTAATGGTGATAAAATAATACGATAGCAAGCTATATTGCAGAAATACCGGAGAGAGTTGGAAAATCATAATAGGCTATGAAAAGAGAGGTTAGGGGTACTTAATAGTTGTAAAATCTTACTAAGAAGGAAAAAAGGTTTGCGAACTGCTGCTAGAGAGAGTAGTGCATATGACAAAGTAAGTCCGAAGTCTGCAGTAAGGAAATTGAAGGAGGGGGCGATTAGTTCCCGCCGCCACATTTTGGTGGTAGATTTCTTGTGAAATGTAACTGATTCCTCATTTTTGTTAATTTAGCAGTTTTTATTCCTTAAATAATAATTTATTTTTAACAGCTGAACCTTTAGCTAAAAGAAATAAAAAACAGAGCACATATATTTTTTTCTTTATTATACTACATTTCAAATTTTTAAAAGTAAAGCTATGAAACGTACGGCTAAACGACTGCATAACTACTTCTACTGCGCCTGCTGCATCTCAAAAGCATATCGTATAGTTACCACATAATGTAGAAACGTATTACTACCTACCAAATGTCTGATTATTTATTAGATTTTTTAAAAATTTGTTACATGTTTATATCGAATAGCCATTATAACACTCCTTGAATAAACATTAATTGAATTATTTATTCATTTTTAGTCTAGAGCAGCAGTTATTAACCTTTTAATTAAAGCGTACCATCTAAACAAAAATTGGAAACTTCAGTACCACCAAAGTACTACTACTACCACCACTATTGAACAAAGCTCAGATCGCATAAATTTACGAGTGTTAGAGAAAACCTCAATCAGTAAGTTGGAGTTTTAATTTTTGAATTCAATAGTTTAAAATGCTTTGCTTCTTTGCGTACCACTTATTTTTCTCTTGCGTACCACCGGTTGAGAACACCTGGTTTAGAACTGTGTTCTCCAAAACGGTCGCCGCCAGCCGCACGTGACAAATGAATATTCAAAATGTGACTTCTGGAATCGAAAGCATTGAATTTTAATTTTGATTATCTGAATCCGTAAAAAAATGACAAACAATTTTTATTAACCATATATGAAATTTCTAAGTTCTAAAAATTGCCCTTTTTGAAGGAATTTATTCTGTTTTTAGTTCAGATACTTCTCTTTCGATAATTTTTTTTCTGTTTCTAATAAAAGTCTTTATGTGCACGTAGACTCGTTCCTAAAGAAGTGTATTTGCCACAAACACGTGGAAAACCAGCAGTTCGTGGTGAGAAGGCTCTGTGGCAGAGACAACATAGTCTCCTGCGGCATTTGACAGTTACCCCACCATCTTTCTTAAAAAAAAGGGGGGGAGAAAGCATGGTCATTGTACTCAGCATAATCAACTTATTATCTTCAGCGAAGAAATCAAGGGGTACAGCGAAATTATGGACCCCTGTGTGGGAAGTATGATGTTAATTGCCTACAGAATAATCCCGCACAGACATGAAATTCACGACAAATCGTATTGATGCTAATCTACTCTTTCATGGTGTAATTTATTAGATTGATGTACTAGTTTTTCTGGTAATTAAGTATATATTTTGATGGGTATTAGAGGAAGAGGTAATATGTAATTACTAAATTTCAGTTAATTTGTGAAAAAAGCTAATTACTGTTTGATCTTCAGCATTATTTCGGTATTTTCATCTTTATTATTAGTGACAATAAATGTAATTTCTAGTATGAACTGTTTTCGTATTAGGTTGAATAACTTGGCCTTAGTTGTATTTGTTACCCTTAGGTGACACTAAACTTGTTAAGTTGACGGATCGAAGATACAGAAAATTTTGAAGTAAGTTACGCAGCATAAACAAATTTATTAAACTGTATTTTAAGTTGCTCCTTACTAAAGAAAAATGTTCAGTGTTTCGAAATCTCTTTTTGAAAATATGGATATGAGCAACTTTGTCACATACAAACAAAATATGAAATGCAAATTACGAAGATAATTTTTTGGAACATTTTTATACTCTTCATAATCACAATCGCATCTATCGAAATATATATATATATAGAACTAGTTATATAAAAAACTCATTTAGAATTTTTTTGTTCAGATATTTTCTCTAGTAAAACTCGTGCTTTTCAGATTAAAAATAATGACACTTCAGAGTCTCCAGGAATAATATCAATTATATTGCAAATAAATGTATGTCCCATCCTAAGACATCAGAAAATCCGATATATATTTTCTGTGGAAACAGCCTAGTATTTTAATAACAGACACATCTAGGAATCAAATCAGATTGATAGATTGATGGAATACGTGTACCGCGCACTACTAAGAGCACAATACGGTAGAAATCAGGCAAAGAGCCACCTTTGGGAGCCCCAAAGTCATTTGCTTGCTGCTGCCAGTCTCACACTTACCGGAAAGACTAAAAATTTTCTTTTAATCTACCTCTGAACTTCCGACCGTTGTCACCACTACTGCCGACCAGAGACCACAACGAGGTATTGCTATATTAGGCTGAAGTTTTGATTGGTCGCTTTGCTACGCAACAGTACTACGCGGGTTACCCGCCACTGGAGGAAATTACACAGAATAGTGTGTGGGTACCAAGACTTGCACTGAACTACGGACATTACCAGCTAAAGGACTAACGCCACATTGACCTGCAGAAAAATGGGATAAGAGTCTTTCCCTACAAGTCATCGGAAACCGCCAGACTCGTTGTTTTTATCCGCCTGTGCCGTGACTGGCAGGGAGCAAATTCCTGCGAGGACAGCAAACAACTTCCTGGAGGGGGCGGGGAATCAAATCAGATGCAAAACATTACAAACGTGAAAAACAAACATATGAAAATTAATTTGGTATGCAGAACTTTTTGAGCGAATAACCTAATCATTAGGACTTCCTGGAGGACAGCAAACAACTTCCTGGAGGGGACGGGGAATCAAATCAGATGCAAAACATTACAAACGTGAAAAACAAACATATGAAAATTAATTTGGTATGCAGAACTTTTTGAGCGAATAACCTAATCATTAGGACTGCGACTTAGACCTGCTAATACTGCGACTAAGCGGAAAATCGACACTTTTGTCAATATCCTAATTTTTTTTATAAGAAGGTCATATATGAAAGTATTGTGGAGTAGTGGAACCACGAATTCATTAGCTTAAATAAAGGGAGCTTAACTAAGATATTTTTCTCTTCCATAAAAATGAGATTATCATGTCATCACTTCTTCACAAACTATAAATTAACCCAATTTCTTACTGGCCATGGAAATTTCAAAAGTTATCTGAACAAATTTAAGTTGAGCCCCGAGTCTGTCTGCGATTGTAGCCTCGGTGGCGAGGAAAATGTTGAGCATGTGCTTCTTCTATGTCCTAAATATGAGTGTCTTGAAACTAGGACTGAAAAATTTTAATATTAACTGGCCTCCAGAATTTTACCAATTTATTTCTGAGAGAAGTGCCTTTAACAGTTTTTGTCAATTCATTATAAAACTTTATAATCATTCTTAATTTTGTTTCAATTTTCGCTTCTGTTTATTTTTGTGCTGTGTTTCATACTTATTTCTGCAAGCCCCTTGTGGTACATGGGGAACTTCTTGTGTTTCTTTAAAAAAAATAGGACGTGTCGGCTATAGAATCAAGTTGATTAGGTGATTATGTAAACGGTTTTTGGGCATTATCCCAAACGTTAGTCAATGCCTTCTGCTGTTTTTTAAATTATAATGCTTTGAGTAACTTTAAGTCACATTAGCTGTATAAAAGTAAATTTAATGTCCATGTATTTATTCATCAGTAAATGAAAGCTGAATAACAATTATGTGCATTTAAACACTCATAAATATGCGATACTATGGCTTTTAAAAACATACGCTATAATTATATTTACAGAAAATTTTTAAAAAGAAAAATTTTTAAATATGAAAATATGAATTTACTAACGAGATAAATGAGTTTAATAAACGCAGATATACATGCATATACGTATTCCCTGTGTCTTTATATACACTTCATGAAAAGAAACTGTTATTTCCTTCTTGATTATTAAAATTGATGATTCAATTGCATTGATAAAGAAGTTGAAATTCTGCAACGATGTTTTTATTATGCATATCTATACAAAACCTTGTGTTGTTTGAATGAAAACTGGCTTGACTATAAATATATGATACAATCTGAAAAATGAATATGGAAATGGAATATCATTTTTTGTCCCTCATGCAGATTATAAAGGATATTTCTTACATAATGAAATGCTACTAATTTACAATGCGCAAGTTTAAATGTACAATGAGATAGCTTGAGATACATAGTTCCAGAATTACTTTTGTTATTCTTATACTCCAACTAATGTGTCATCCACTTGCATATTCCTTGGCATCCTTATTTTTTTCATTTTGAGCTCGTACCTCTTCCTCTGCAGGCTGTCAAAGTGTGGTTTAGATCTTCTTTGGACTGCCGCGACATGACAACATTTGTGAAACACCATTCCTCTATTTGCTACGCATTGTTCAAAGGTTCGCATAAGCTTAGTACCGTAATTAGGGACGCTGTAACGACCATGAAATCCCATTTTCCTGTTGTGGGCTCTGTTTTGATTTCTGAGTAAGATACGGGCTGCATAAAATTTAGCGAAACAGTGGTAACCTTTATCTCCTGCTAGTTGTCCCAAAGAGCAGCATGTTACGTCTTTGCTTCTGGTCAAACCTAGAGAAAAAGAGAAAAATTGATTTGAATCTGAAATTGGATCTGCAGAGTCATTTCACGTTAATGGAACCATTAGCTACTTTTGATATCTCGTGCAGTTAGCCAAAAACAGAAGATACGGGTCAAGTTCAAATCTTATAAATGTACCCTCAACTAACTGTTGGAAGTTGTGTGGCCAACACATCTACAATAGTCGTGATGGGAAGAGAACGTAATTTATCCGAATTAGAAAAAGGCATAATTATTGGCTCTTAAGCCTTAGAAGGCGCGTGATTTATGAATGTTTCCTGTACAACTCTAGAAAGACATACTGTGAACGGACTAACGGCACAGTGTCAACGAATATCAAACTGTAGAGCTCCAAGAGTCACTGACGGCAGATGGAGTGGCACCTTCGAAAGTTAGTGAAAACCGATTAGAGTAACTGTGTATTACTTCGCTATGCAAATGAACTACGAAGTGTATAGAAATGAGCTCAAGGCAACAGACAGTTCAACGAATATTCTTGCATATGGGACTCCTCAGTCATCAGGTAGTATTAATACAGATGCTCACATGAATACATCAGCGGGAGTGTTTGTAGTTTGGGCAGCCCACAGAAATTGGACCACATTGGAATAGCAAAAGGCTACCTTCGCAAATGAACCCCAGTTTGTGTTCAATCGAGTAGATGTGAGGTGGCTTATCCGGAAACAAATATCGGAACAACTATTTGGAAATATGATTCGGCGAAACATAGGACAGTAGTGGCAACGCCCTTGTTTTGGGATGTTTTTCTGGCACTCGTTGGGTCTCTGATAACTTCTACTTGCAATTGATTTTGATACATTGCTGCATGCTTCCTGATGCAGTATAATCCTTTACGTTGAATATCTTCCGTGATAGAAACGGAATGTTTCAAAAGGATAATGCGATTTCCCATAATAATAAAATATTAGATTGAGGATCATGAGAAAGACTTCTACGCACTTTCTTGGTCATCAATTTCACAAACCTTAACCGTATCAAAAATCTTTGGAGTCATCTTTATAGATGTATTCGGCAAATAGATCCTCTATCCAATATTTATTCCAGCTTTTGGATTCCCTGCAATCTACATGGTTTCAGATTTCCACATTACAATCTTTCAGAACCTTAGTGTACCGTTTCTATAGCTTCTACATGCAGCTAAAGGATGTAAATTACATCATGAGGTGGATAGTTCTAATAATATAACTCGATTGTGCATACAAATATTCTTGTAAACTGAAAATGAATATAGGATATTACTGTTAAATAATTCATTTAGTAAATTGTATTGATGATGCAGAATTATAAGCAACAAATATCTTGAATCTATTTGCTTTGTTACTAAACGGTTTTTATTAGCAGCTTAGATTAGTCAGGGAGAAATTTATAAAACTGAGAGGGGATTAGTTTCAATGATGATTGAGTAACTATATCCCATTTATAGCTGAATATTCACACTTTAATCTACTTCACGCAATGAATTTTTATTTCCTTCTTTTCGATCATTACCTTTGATTCTCTTTCTGCATATAAAATTACATCAGTTGGCTAATAAAAAAGTTATTCAAAGGCGAAAATAATTCCGACCAAAATATATAGTTTTCTATAAAATTCTTTTATTACATGTTATATTTAATTGCTAAAAAATATAGCTCGCATATTACAGCTGCATTACACAACTACTATGAGTGAAATAAATTACGTTTGTCTAACCTTCCATTCAGCAGTACGCTTATCTGTAATTAGAATTTTTTCCATGATTAATCTTTAATTAAACCTTATGCAAGAGAATCAAATTTTAAAATTCATTTAGCAATTCTCAAGGAACTCATAGTAATTCTTGATGAAAAATATGTGTCTACAATGCTTCTTCCAAAAATTTTGCACATCGCGATATCTAAACCGATTTTACTACAGCCATGTTTAGCATACTGTTGAAATTATACTAGGAATTGTTTCCTTTATCTTCTGAAGGCCATTAAAAAGTGACCGAAGGAAAATACGCCCAATCAACATATTTTTATACATGATCAACAAAAAAAAAAAAAAAAAAAAAAAAAAAAAAAAAAAAAAAAAAATCTGTAATCTGTGGTTAACGACTGAAAGGAAAACAACAGCGTGTATGGTCAAACATAACCTTTCTTGATTCGATGAATTATCACCTTTATAAGTGTCTGAATAAACTTTTAACAAGACAGACAAGGAAAAAAAATTGAATGAAAAGTTATTTCTTGGAGCACAGCTAAAATTTAACAAAATTCGCGGCTTGCTGGGGTTTTGTATCTCAAATATTTAAATAAGTACAATACGCAATCTAACTTTCCCCCTGCTAACTAACTCGGCTCCAACTTATGGGAGATTTTAAATTTGCGCTCTAAGAGATACAAAATTCATTCATCAAATCGATAGAGCGGCTAGATGGGAGGCTTGTCGTATCAAGCTATATGTTATACTACGTGGTTGCTCTAATACCCTCCTAAAAGTGAAAATTCGCCCTCTATTCAACCTCAAACTAATTTACCTTCTGATGAAGCCTGACGGAGCAAATAGAAGTACAGAAAACAATAAAAGTGTGAATAATGTATTATCTAAAATGAACCTTATAAGCTTACAAATTCATTGGCTCGAAATGTTCATAATTGTGGATAAAGAATAAATTTTTGTGATCTGTTTGGTACCATACTGAAAACACTTAATTAAACACTAAAATAGTTTACATATATGTAAACTGTTTTCACTTATACTCGCATGGTTGATAATAGATGACGTTGCTACGTAATAAAAATACTTTCAAACGCAAACTACAAAAATACAAACATAAACTACTAGGATAGTTTAAAATGAGATAAAGCCCTTTTTTAATAAGGGTGAATTGAAAATGATTAAATGAGTTTTGAATGCAAAAAAGAACATGTATTTTCTAAAGATTCGTGCATTTGGAACATACTGATACTCAAGCATATTATATTGTTACGGATTTTGTATTTAGTTAGCTATTTTTGATAGAATTGTAATTAAAATTGTTTTATTTCCCCCGTAATGCAGCGCGTGACGAGTTTAATGAGAAAGCTACGGCGAAAAAGTAAAAGTACAGAAGGACATGCATTTAATAAATAGATATGTCGTAATTTATATTTAAATTGAAATAATGCAATTGTGTGTTAGCTGTAACTGTAATTCTACTTTTTTGCTCTCCAGAAACCTCGAGAAATTACGAGAAGCTTCTCGTGACTGATTAAAAAGGCCGGAGAAAAACATCTCAGTTCAGTTGCTTACTAAGTGTTTGTTGTTGTTTGTAGCGAATTCGCGGTGAGATCGGATTAGCTTTCTCTGCACTGTGTTCTAGTTAACGTTTTAGTAGTTTGTCTATTGTGTGATATTGTGATATTGTACGAATATCTGTTAGAAAAACATTTCAGCATTTTGTTTTATTCCTTGTGATAAGAATAATTTTTTTAAAAACTTTTCATCGGACTTGTGCATTCAATCTATTACGAACCTGTACGCACGCAACATTATTTAATTTTATATGACTTTTCACCATTTTATCATTTTATACCTCATATTTTTAACTGTCATAAGAAAGCTCTAGGCAGCGTTTTCACTTATGTTATAGTACGTGGTTAGGAGTTAATAAATTAACTCCTAGGAAACTATGGTCCAAAAGTGAATTACAAATATCAAGACCTAAAATCATCTTCGTCGGTGCTAACTGGCAAACTCTGAATTTATATTTCACCAAAAATCGTCATATCTTTCATCATGACATGTATCATACTCTGAAAATTAGATCAATGGTTGTGCCCAGTATCAGTGCTACCTCGGTATACGTCCACTTTGAAATACGTCCAACTTGCTACAAGTCCCATTTGGATGCATAAGGTTTTTAGAAATACGACTCGAGTTCGATAAGTCATCGCATGCAGTCTTTGGAGACAACGCTACGATTGCCCTGGGTTACTATATTGCAAGAATTTCTCTTGTGTGACATCTCTGACTCCTAGTCTGCTCAAAAGCATTTACTCCCTTTTTGTTTTCATTGACCTTGCGACTGCATATGAGCGTCAATACACTCCTGTTGCTACTATTCAGTAAGCAATTTGTTCTATAACTGCGAATTTTCAAGTAATTTTATGTTTTATGGCGTGCAGTTTTTGTAAATTAAAAAGGTTAAGCAATGAAGAAAATTGTTAGGATTACCATGAAAGAAGAGATTGATGAAAAGTCTGAAGATGCACACGTATCTGAGACTTAACTATTACGTACCGTATGGGGCATGTTAAATAGCATATTATAATACTTTTCAACGAAATGCGAAATAAAATTGCATTACAAAGTAAATGTTTATTTAACGTTATTAATTAAATTGCATTACAAAGTAAATGTTTATTTAAGTTACAAATTAAATTTAATGAGTAATGTGAGATGGGTGTTTTTGATAACTTCATGTTTATCTTTATTTTATTTTTAATTTTTATTTATTTTGGTCCGATGGTGTCTACAATTGTGAAAAACAAAGACGCTATTAAATCGGTTAACTTTGGGAGGGCGTAAAATCGATTACTAAAACAAAGGTGGGAGAGGTCAGGGCATGTTAAAAATTTGCTTTTGATCTGGATAGCAGGAAAACATTTATGTTCAATATCATGCGCAGTGCTTCATTTATGTACAATATATTGTCACCCACTGCATTTATATTTTAGTATTAAACAGTGATACAATAACAAAAATAGGATTTCTATATAGGCAAGAATTAATTATTTTTTCTTTATGTCTTATTATGAAATTAATTTCGGTATATGTCCAAGAATCTGGAACGGATTAATGACGTATACCGAGATAAACACTCTCGAACTGTACTTTTAACCTCTTACTCCACAAGAGTTTTGGTTCTCGCATTTCCGCTATATTTATCACTTAAAATTTTTCAGTATTGTAATGCAGTGATTCTCAAACTTCATTTTCTTTACGTCATATTTTTAAAATTAAAA